ATAAATAAAATGTGTGCGGCCACTTCCGCTTGTGATGGTACAGCTAAGAAATTGGAAATATGGACTTAAATGCACGAATGGGTAGACTAAAGAATTAAAAAGGCAAATACATGTGCCATAAAACGTATTATACGTTAAAATCGCTTTTTTCAGTGTCATAAGTCTACGATAGTGAAGCTTGTCTATAGTGCCATGCGTCATAATCTTGGACTAAGACGAGACTGTGGTGCAAAAATCTGGTCAAGTCGAACACCAGACTCCGATAGATCATGCACACATGGGATCAATCACTGGATAAGAGAGCCTGTCTGAATGGCGTAGTCTGGTCCATGCAAGCTCATCGCTGCTGAATGTGTGAATAATTTATTATCTACTATTTAACCGGAAGATTCAGGCTACATGATGGGTTTGATAAATGATGAGTTTGTTATTTATCATGAACTGAAAAGGTTTCGGATAGAAAACGTGCGTTATACGAAAATTTTGGAAATAAGTTTCAGTCCAATAGATTGAAAGTAGAGAGTAAATTCGCATTGTCAATTACAATATGTACAAGAACGATATGACAAAGGTTGTTGTTATCGACTGAGAAAAACATCGTTGTTTAAAAAACAACCACATGAGATCCTAATTAGTGATCAACAGAGATGATGCGAGCATCCATCACGATGATGCTCGTCTTCGCACAGCTCGACAGGCCAAAAATCTTGGGATAGGTTGGTCAATAAAAATCGCTTATCCGACATATTTTCCAGACCGTATGATGAACTGCTGCTCCGCTCGTTTCCTGGACTATAAAGGATTTTTGACTGTTTTATTTTCTCTTCAACAGAAGAAATAGCGAATGATTGGGATTCATGACCAATATTTCATGCTGAGTGTCAAATTTACAAAAAAATGTATGCATCGAAATTAAAAAAAAATAATATATTTAAATTTAATACAACACATAGAATTGATGATGAAGATGTAATCGGGCGGAAAAATAGATCTTTCAATAATAACCTTGTTCTTAAAAGGAGCTCGAATGGTAGTAAAAACAATATTAAGCCGTATTTTGCCTCAGCCGATGGTAAACAATTTTTTTTTTCATTTTAGGAATATTGTCGAGTGATTTATACAAATCAAACTCAATCAATTAAGAATATCCTCAATTTGTGCGTGTTTCTTAAAATAATAGGCATTGAGCAACAGTTGTTGACAAAGTTGGGTTCACAATATTAATATATATGCGATGCGTACTTACGACGATTAAACTTTTACTGCATCGTAATTATTCAGTTTATTGGGACTTCTAACCGAGGTAAAATTTAGCCCTGCATCAGCAACGAAACTCAAGGAATAAATGAATAAATGAATTTATTAAAAAAACCAGGCAAGACTCAATCACTTTACTGAATTTGACGGTCACTGAAGAGCTATATTGACGGTTTATAGGTTTTAGTTGTAGCCACATTTTTTTAGCTGGGACATTTAATTTCATAAATCATACTGAATGCGTAATGGATGGGCTGTTTGGAATAGCAGGCTTCTGCTCTTCGAGACCTATGACTGGATAGGAATATACAGAAGGCTGTCCCGCTGAAACTTCAACGCAATTCAACACGATACATCAGGAATCCATCTGATTTCAGCTGTATTTCTGAGATTAAATTCACATATCGTTTTCAGCGTTGAAGGCTTATGTTGATGCATATAAATCGAGATCGGCAGCAGCAAGATCCAAGAAATGCTTGACATTCCCGAGAAGTTTTTCCACCGTGCAGACTGTAAAAGAGCCGCCCGGATTTCTCACCAAACACCGAGAACTTTGTAGGCAAATTGCTTCGTTGGTTTATAGGAGCTGTTCTCTGAAGGCATATCACAGAATCAATGCATAGTGAGAAAATGATGAAAAAAGTGCAGAGGAGTAGAAATTCATGAGTGGAAATTCATGCATGTTTCATGAATTTTTCATGAAGTGAAAATTCATGTATGTTTCATGAAGTTCAATTCATGAACTTCATGATTTGGCATCATGTCAGCGTCATATAATCTGTAAGGTAAATGTCATTACCACGTTGATTTCCCACTGAACTACATGTGTCTTATTTTGAACCTACTCATTTGAGCATTACATAGGACGACGTATATACTGATTTTGATATATTCATCATATTCTTAATAACAAATTCCTAGGCACATAAATGTATGAAAGGCCCAACCGAAAAGGCCATTAATCGTACCAGGTTGGAAAGGACCGCGGGTCTGATCTGTCGGATCAAGATTGCCCTTAATTATCACTCCAAGGAGGTCGTGGAGATCTTCCGGTCTACATTTCTAAACCGCTTTGAGGACCTCACAGGAGACATTTTTATTCGAGAAAGGAACTCTGTGACGGTATTCTGGACGCTAAACCATTACCAATCGCACGCTACATCTGCCCACATAATGCAATTTATATTGCATATTGTATTAAATTACAATTTTGCAAGTGAGCAAATTATTTAATAAAGAACAAAATTATTTTCGCAGATATGTAACAAAGATGAGAATAGAATGCTTACAATAAGCTTAATTGCCCGTTGAGGGCATATATCAATAATATGCAATAAATTTCATTCAATTTTAAATGTTGCCTTCTGCATGTTATCGGATTAATTATTGGGATATCTAAATATAAGAGAGAATTGACTACATTAACTTTTTATTCGAAAATTTGTCAATATTGATCTGTATCTGAACCTCATTCAATATCACTAGCCGACGTTTTAGTATTGTTGTGTTATTTACCGGAAATGAAACTTTGTTCTTTTAAAAATGATCGTGTCCTATCTTAAATAATTTTCTTAAATATATGTTCACTAATAAAACAAATAACAGGAAATAATTAGAAACATGCAATTATGGTCAAATTAAAGCATAATTGAAATAAATTATTTAAATTGGTTGCAAGGGAAGCGTGAAGAACAGTATTTTAGTGAAAATATGATGATTTTTCTTAGGATTTTCTCATCTTTTGAATTATTTATGGCCATCTGACTGTATATCATGGGCAAAAACTTTTTTCTAATGAAGCTAGAAAAAAATCTTGGCCCTTAAAACCAATTTCATGCAAATTACCATGAACCTTTTGGTGATAGAATGCAACCAAAATTATGCACCCACATGACTACTTCATCAATAACGCATATCGATAAAAATTAGTTGCATGCACGCAAAGATTTATTGAGATTATTTATTCATTTATGATTTTTATCATGAAATTGAGTAACCTTAAATTGCTACTTGGATGGATCCAAGACTTGAAACAAAATAAAGGGGTGAATGTATTCAAGCATCCTAGTTATTTGATACAGAAGGGTACAGATAACAGCCAAAAACAAAACAAAAAATACAATAAGCCCATCTTAGTCGAGTTTGGCAAATATACATTTAGGCAAAGTTGGTCTGCACAGTTGATCTATGAAAATTCAAACTTAGCTTTTAACTGTTCAATCTTTTTTGAGTAAACCATTGAGTAAATTATACTACTATGCAGCGATAACCAAGATCTAATGTTGAATTACATACGAAATCAGTATTATTCCGATACATACGTAAGCGTGCGCTATGCAGCTCACGGTTATGCATGCAGGCAAGCATCTCCGCTATTCGCTTTGATCGCGACCTCCATATCGCATGCAATGATTCTATTTCAATAGAATCTGCCCAGGAGCCTTGAAGCAGTGTTGCCACTTGCAGGGTTCTACACTGCGCATGTGGAGCTGATATTGCACTGTGACATGTTGAAATTTGTAGATGATTTCATACCCGGCTGAGCGAGTGAGAGTCGGGAGCTGCTACTGAATATTTTTGATAATTCAATGATTTTTAAGTTAAGTGTCCTACAGAATATACTAAAAATTCCAAAATCTATTCTATAAAAACGAAACTTGAACCTAATACACGAGAAAAAGCATAAAATTTTCTTGCGTAGCTGTGCAGCAGATTTAGATACATAACGACATCTATTCATTGAACGGGTGAATAATGTACTCACACCTGCATGCAAATTTTGCAGGAAACATTTTGCAATTTGAATTATATTTTTTTCTTCACGTTTGTACTCAATTTAAATGTCCATTAGCATGTAGTAAACAGCTCTCCCTATTAAAATTCATGTTCCCACGGTAAAATTCTACCAATTTTATCGACGGTTGAGCGTTGGCCATCAGGAGCCTGCAAAAATAAGTAGCGGAATAAATGCGCGTCCGATGATTAGCGTAATGGGCCTAAATTTTTTTCTCTACTCTGAAGACTTTAAACAAATTTCCTCCGAAATTCGTGGTATTTTAGAGACCTTTTAGAATTTAAGTTCTCAATCAGCCGAAGAAATAGCGAATGGACAAGGCATTTCAAGTCCAGATTTCAAGGTTTATTGTTCGATTTCTTAATTTAAGTGTTCACTTTTCAATAATATTAAATTAATTGTTTTAACTCGAGATCTTTATTTAACCTCGACACGAAAGATCATTACAGACACACATATATCCAACTTCTCGATTGCTTCATCATGAGGAATTTTTATCTACATTTGTATGGAGTAAATCTTTGCCGTGCCCATGCAGAAGTAACAAAAACGCAATTCTTTATTCGCGATTTTAATAGAAATATTTGTACCCAAACAATAGCAAATATTCAACACCTTATGTTGTTCTATAGGCAAAAAAATTATAATCAAGTCAATAATAATGATTAAACGTCGTTGTTATCCAAAATCTGTTACACCAGCAATGGGCCAAGGAACGATAAATGGGAATTGTACATTTTGCTAATCACAGATGTATGCCAGTCCTATTTGTTCTGTTGCAGCAGTTTCATTTGCCCAACTTGCATAATTCGCAAATTGTCATCCATTTCTAAATTTTTTATCCCCTATCGAAAAACTTTGGTGGAACTGAATTTTTTTAGGCAGAAAGTTATAAAGGATATTTAATATTATTACGAATAATTTTTATCTATGTTCATGCTTTCAATAGAGACTGCACCAGTACGCAGGATGACTTGGACCCAACCTCCAGCAGTCCAGCTGGTCAGAGCGCGAATCAGCCTAAGGTCAACACAGCCTCAGAACAACAGCCTTCAGTTCTCAAGCGAGAGAACGGGAAGTCGACTCACTTGCAGATCTTGGACAGCCTTTTGAAGGAGTATGACCGTCGGGCCACTCCATCGAACCATCTCAGTGAGTATATGATATTTGATTTTAATACCGCTTGTAAATTATTATAGTTACTGATAACTGCGTTTGACTGAAGGTTTGAAAAACAAGAAGGTGCTTCGGTATCTGATTAAATTACCTCAAAAGAAGGTCAAGAGTAAGGAATATTTTGCATATAGAAGTTAAAACCCCACTAGCATCGAAATTAAATTTGAGGAAATGACAAACGATCATTATTAATCCATTATAAAGTTACAACCAATATTAAAAAAAAATATCCCGAATAATCGTTTTAAAGCGTTCATCAACAAATTTGAGATTTTAGTAGCAACGAGCAAACCCGCGGATTCTTGACACGAGTTGAGTAATTTCCAACGTTTGACAATATAACCGGTAAAGGCACTCGAATTTCATTTAAGTGTCAATATGAACTAAAAACTCAGAAAATTTCTCACGAAAAAAAAAAAGAAAATAGTGAGCAAAAGTTTCTTTTCTCCTTTCGCTTCCCGAAAGCCTTTGCATCGTCTTATTTTTTCCCAGGCTCAGTAACCTAACTGAGAAGAAAATTTATTTTCTGGACGACAACTGTTGCAACTCTTTCCCATACTGTGACACTTCGGGAAAATTAGCTTAGCTTTCCTCCAGAAGTCCAAACTGGAAACATTCTGCACTGGTACTCTTTAGACTTGTTTGTAAGCGGGATGTAGTACTGCAAATTGCCAGGTGATCTTTGCGAAATTAGCAGAAAAACTTGCTTTCTGTTCATGTATGTCTGTATGCTTGACTGTTCATGTATGAATTGTAGAAAGTAAAGAGTTTTACCGAAATTTCGCATAAAAAATTAATTATATAACTTAACATAAACAATACTTGATATATGAACACAAGCAAAAAATTTAGGGTAAACTGAGAAATAATTCATTGATATCAACACAAATGATCCCATGAATGAGTTAGATGGCGTTAATGGCATATATGACATTCTTAGTACGTTTGGCAACATAAATAAATTTAACAGAAAGTCAATCACGTAGACAATTTTAAAGTATTTCCTGGGCGCACGACATAACTACAAAATTTTTGGCTCTTTCTTAAAAAACAAGCAATTAATTTGTATTTATCAATCCAATACATCATTCCTTCTAAGATAAGAAGAAAAAGTTAAAAACGACTGCGAATATGACCAATAGGTCGTTCACACTTGTACCGACTTGTGGCGCAAAATATCACAGCAAATGGATACAAGTTGTCTAATGTTTGTCGCTCGCTGAGGAGAAGACACTTTTGTTACTGACAGGCTTCTTGGTGTTTTCATGCAGTAAAGTCTTCTGAAATTTGTCAAACATATCGCGAGAGAAATTTGTGACCTCGGTTTCAGTTTATCAGTGGTACATCTATTTCTTGACGAAAGATAGCAGAGAAAGAAGGAGGTTTTGGAAAATTTGTTTTAAAAAGTGAGAGGTTTATTAGTTGGGAAAGAAGGCGACTCCACAAAACATAGATGAGGCAAACCTGGAAACTTGGACAAAATAAAAAAAATGTCGAAGAAGTTTATGAAATTTTCGGGAAGATTCTGCTATCAGGTATTTCTGTTAAAATTTATTGTCTAATTAATTTGTTTCCCAGGTACGCTTATCGTTTGTCTCGTGTTAAGAGGCAAAGTCGATTCTCGTTAGCTCTACCTTGATCACTATTGCTTTAACCTTACCGGAGTGAAGACCTCTTGCTCAAATAGTATTATTACTTTTGTTAACTCTTGCTTATCTGTTACTTAATTTGAGTTTGTGCGAGTGTGTTTTCATTTTATTTTGTTCTATTTAAATGCATGTTAGAACTTCTGTGTTTCGCTCGTTTAAGATCTTGCTTTACCGGCTTTACGCCAGTGCTTAATTTGAACCCGTAGGGGTTATTGGCTCCTTGGAGCTTCGGTGCATGTATACCGATTATGTCACATGCCTAGTGCTGTGAATTAACTGCATGCTTGCATGCGCTTTACTCTCTTTAAGTACGAGCGAACACTCCTATTACTGTTTTCACTATTTTCTTCCTAATAGTTCTCTTCATGAGAACTCTTGTCTAGGGTTCCTCAACGGAAACAAATAGGTTTGTCATTTTGATTATTTGAAACTGTTATCATTATTCTGAATTTACTGAAACCATACTGAAATCCATTGCGTTATAACTTTGAATCCATTAATGTTAGTCTTACGTTTGTTTTCTGTCTTATTCAGATTAGAATCCACCTAACCGCCTCTACTTAGTCTTCGACTCTGCCGTTTCTGTTTTTTTAAGCTGAACTACTTGCTTAGAAGTTCTGTTGCTACTGGCAATATTTGGTGAGAATTGGAGAGAGAGACATATTCACCTGAAACAGTGACTCGTTCTATTTAAATCAAATATTGTGTTCTAGACTTCTAATGTTCGAACTTGTACTTATGTGCGTACGTATTTTACTACAGTGCACGAGTTCCTCATCGCGCTTTGTGCTTCTCGTTTCCTCCTGGCTTCGTTCTGCGAACCAATTCTCTTTGCGGAACCACAATAAAAGTTTCAACGCTTTCTTTGTTTTTTGATTTCCAATTGAAGCAAAATTCAATAATTTCCTTTTTTTAATTGAAAGCCTTTAATTTCACATATTCTAGATATTTATGAGCAGTTTAGTGTGCATATGAAGTTTAATATGAGTGACCTTCCCTAAATTGTAATTCCCATTGAAATGAAATGATGCTATGAGGACTTCATTTTGTTTGAAATTAATTTTGTTTGCAAGTGAACTAAGTATTGCTTGGATGATTCCGATCTCCTGAGAGATGTTATTTAGAAAGTAGGAAGACAATCGAACGAAATAATCTCGATTTAATCATATTGATGAATTTTCTTTGCAAGCGACATAATTCGATTTTAATATGATACGTTTAATTTGAATACGCAAGGCCTTGTAAAATTTGCATTGACACCAGTTATGAACAATTTATTTCTTACAATGAGAACGTTTCTAAAGAAATCAACCTAGAATATAATCTCTATATAAAGGAGAAAATTCAAGTTGTAAGCTGCCAAAGTATTTGAAAGTAAGTTTAACTTTATGCGAAATGCGAAAAAAATTATTTTAAATTCCACGATTCCGAAAATCTTGAACTTGGTTGCTAGTTTACAAATAAACATATCTTTGTGAATAAACATATCTTCAGATTACAAGATGAATTAAATTAAATGCTACAGGCGCAGGACTTGCTTAGAAGTTCGGCAGCCTCTCCACGCTTAGAAGTTCGGCAGCCTCTCCAACAACTCCACGTCTATTCAGCAGCTGCTAATTGCCTAGCCTTAGAAGGCAGACCAACGCTACTGACTTTGAATGCAATTTTATTAATCATTAAATTAATCGATAACACTGTCAAGTATTATTCAAATTAACATGACAGTAGTGCCTTCTGACTTAAGTCAACCTTAACGTTGAAAGCTTTGGGAATTGTCTTATGGTTCGGATATTGTCGCCAATGCTTTTGTATGTAAAATAATTGTAACTATAGTCCTCGTTAGTAGATAAAGGGTAGAAGTATGAGGTCAAAACAGGTCCAATTGCATGTTAACGAGCAACATACAGTAAGTGGTCGGTAAACCAATAACTTATTGTACGTAACGCAACGTATAAACCTTGCTTGCTCCAATTCAACCAATTAAGCCCCGTCGATGGCGTCGGGCAGCAGACGGTAGTAATTTTCGAGCGGTCCTATCTGAGGAACGTGAGTTTCGGTACAGAAGTTAGAGCCTGGGTGCAAGACACTGAAGGAAAATTGGTATTCACTGTTGAAATGAATTAAGGGTGTTGAATAATGGAAGAAATGACAGTTGCGAACGTTATAAACGACTTGGCAAAAAAACTACATTGGCAATGTTTAAATAGCTGAATTTCTATCTTAAAACGTGAGTTCAACGATGACCGAATACCTGAGATAAATATATATCATTGGATTGTGGTTGGCAAATAAATTTTCTGAGGGTAAAGTATCCTTCAAAATGTTGAATTTTTCGAATTTAAGACGAAACTTAAAAGGCCGATCGAAAACGGGTCATGAGCACGTCATGAACACGTCGTGAACACGTCATGAACACGTCATGAACACGTCCTGAAAACGTCATGAACACGTCATGAACACGTCATGAACACGTCATGAACACGTCATATTGCTGCTGGAAATGTCAGCCTCGTAAAGAAATTGTGTGTCGAAACATTTTGCGTCCGTTGCAGTACAGCAAGAAAAATAGCTTCGACGTTTTAATGAGAATTTTTGAACAAATGACTTCTTTCTTTCGAAAAGATTCATAAACTTTAAAAAATCTAGTTATTAACGACTTTCGTTGTTATTTTCAAGTTTTTGGATGAAATTATATTTGGACTCAAATTCTCAAACTTGTTCAATATGATTCCATCTTTTTCACTCTATCGAATTTCAATGGTTTGATATACTTTCCATCATTCTCTTCAGGACTACCAAGTGGACTTGTACCTGCGGCAGACGTGGTACGATGCTCGACTGAAGCACGAAGATCTCGTCCAGCCGCTGGACTTGAACGACCCAAACTTGGTGAAGGCGATCTGGAAGCCTGAAGTGTATTTCCCCAACGCTAAAGATGCTGATTTTCAGTTCGTGACCGTGCCTAACGTGCTCGTCAGGATCAACCCGCACGGCGAGATTCTCTACATGCTCAGGTGACGTATTGAAGTTTATTGATGACATGCGGTCTAGGAATAACCTAATTAGCTACCTACTGCAAATCATTTCTATTAGGCAAAGTTATTTAAAAATGTTTGATTTCACGCTCACTACCTTCCGAAAGACCAATGCTTGCAAAATCTCTATTTAATCAGCAAAGAAATCAGGACAGAATTTCGTAGAAAGTATATGTTTTTGAATATATACACGCGTCTAGAGCATCTTACGTTCCAAATGAAGTTAGTGCATGTCTGGAGATGCTGTTCGATGCACTAAACCCCGACAAGGGCTGCTAAAATATACGATTTAAGATTCATGCATTATCACTTTATTACATTTATTTTGAAAAATTGAGCATAAACACCTCCATATTAAAATTTATAGCTATTTGAATTTTAGTTCAAGGCTGACGTTGACTCGCTTAATTTAGAATTAGGCACCAATTTTCGGCTTTTTCTCTTAGCCAACCAGACCTCTTTCTGAATCATGGGAATTCTGGGGCGTCCGGTTGGAGTATCAAACGAACCTTGACGAGTATGAACCTGGACGAGTATCAAACGGACCGTTTGATAATCTTATTGTTTAGGAGAGCTTTATATCTAACCGTCACGAGAGCGCTTAACTGAAATTGGACGGGAGGTTAGGATAAGATGCTGAAACGTATACGCACAATACCTCAAGCCTGCTGCTTCTTGCGTAGTCGAAGGAAAATGAAATATTTATCAGAAAACTAATGAATAATAAACTTGACAACAGCAGCAGACTAGAATATTGTCATTATACAATATACGGAGGATTCTGCATGCCATTACGCGTTAGTACTGCAACAAGAGCAAGGTGTGTCACTAACCAATCAACTATATCGTCCACGAGTGGAATGATTGATAAATATAGGGCCGATGAAGGAAAATAACAATTATTTGAACATAGTGTGTAATTAAATGGCTTAGGACACTACTTTTCCACAAAATTAAATGTTTTAGATACCTAAAATGTCTTAGATTTTAAAGTCTTCATCATATTCAATGATGATTACGTATATGCTGAACTTGCGATTGTTTGTCTGACTAGCGTACATGTTTCCGTAATAATAAAATTATCTATTTTTCAATTCATTAATTTTTCATCTTTAAGAATAAGGTATTAGCAGATTTCCTCACAGCGATTGTAATGGAGTAGTTCATCAAGAGCAATTTGACACTGTGTTTCATAACGCCATAACTCGGTCTGTGCTGCAGCGTACAATAATGTTTGTAGTCACTGCTTGCTCGAGAAAATTTCACCATGTTTCTGCTAAATCAAAGGAATCTGGAGATCTAAATCAATATTGCCAGAACACCAACAGCCGTAACTGCTCATAAAATTCAATACTGATATTGTCTAACTAATTTTTAGCGCATTTTCTCATTTATGGAAATGATGCTCTATATTGTGCTCGCCATGTCCGTTTGTCTGTCTGTCTGTCCGTCTGTCCGTCCGTCCGTGACCTCAAGTTTTCGTCGACGAGAAAATGGGCTCTCTGTTACTCACTGCAGTGAGTACTGAGTTATATTTTTTTATTTTCACTGTCGGATCTTATCTGGATGTTCAAAACGGCTTTATAAAAAATTTAGAGAATTTTGAAGTGAATAATTAAGCGTGCGAAAATGTGCTGAAAATGGCTGCAAGCGCACAGCAACATTTAGAATTAATTATGATGGCGTTAATTGTACATTCCAGCCAGAGTGCTTAGCCAACCTCCTTTGCCTCACTTGATTTAATGCTAATATTATTAAACAGTTATTATCATTCCTCAAGTAACACTGAGGTGATAATGATGTTTCCTAACCGCCGCTGGGGATTTTCTCATATTTGGCTATGCGTGTAATCCTGCCTAGATTCACAATTAGACAACAATAGCAGAGGCAAACTGAGCGTGAGTGCGACTCTGAAATTTATATGTAAGGCTTATTTTGCTTAAATTCAAAATCGTGTAACGATGGCGGTGGTGAACAGGCGCTGGGAAGTTTGTCTATTTTGTGGGGTCGTGCAGATGCTGAGCACGTATGCTACTTGAAGCTGATAACGCTCAAAGTACCTAAACTAAATGTGAAAAACTTGCGGAACCACTTGTGAAGGTAGCACATGCAGATATGGTCAAGTAATTTGAATGATAGCAGAATCAGCTTTTGTAGAGCATCAGTGAACGAAGATTTTTTTTAAATGTGAGCAGCTCATTATGCTATTTAACTTTAAAATATTGATATTTATTTGGAAAATTTTAATACTGTAATGAATAATAAAAAATTGTTAATAAGTTACATTTAAAATATACAATCTATGTATAATTCAGAAGTTTGCCGGTTTGATGGAACATGCCTTTGCCAGCCTTACCGGATGTAATGTACACCCTTGACCAGATTGAACAGCATTTTTAGATTTAGTTTGTTCGTTGGGTTTTGGTCCTTATTTCTCATAGAATGAGAGAGCTACCGTAAATAGTATCTAGAAAAGTGACTCGGAGTGGAGACTGGACAAGCAGAATACGCCGGCAGAAGTCATGAAATTGCTTCTCGGTAGATGCTTTTTGATGAGACGCAATGACATGAATGATTTTTTCCGTAGAAATACTGGCCGTAACTGTTGACATTAAATATCTACAAATTGAAAGAATTGAGTCATTCCGATGGTTGATACTGCAGTGGTTGTTTGGTGGAGGATTTATTGTTTGTTTATACAAAAAACGGACTGGTTGTGAGCATTTTAATAATCATGTGGGGGTGAAGAATAAATCTTAAATGTATATATTTTTAAGTTTCCAAAACACATATAAATAATATTTTGGGAGCCTTGCACGTTTGGGATGAATATCTAGCCCATTTCCAAGTTTTAATTGAATTTCTGTTGAGGCCTGAGCCTGAGTTTGCGCAACGGGGGGAACTTCAAACGTCGAGAGAAAGCTGAATTTTGTAAGCTTTCAATTCATGTTAGAATATTGTGCTAGAAAAGCGATTAAAAAAATGTTAATTTTCGGGGTGATTTTACGATTGCGTAATTTTTTGTTTTTACCATTTCACGTTAAAGTTCTGCAATATCTGAAATATAGAAAATTTGTGCGTGTATTTTTTCGACTAGTATCATTTTGTCCCTGCGAATTTCAGCTCTCCGGAGTCTTTTCGTCTCATAATCGCGGCACTCTTATGTTATAATAAGTTTTTTGCGTTATTTTTCATATGAAGCCAGATCAGTTACAGTGCACTTAAAAAGTAACGATGCACAGATCAGTTACAGTGCACAGTAAAAAGTAACGATGTTTAGTTCATGCGATGCTTTAACTAAACATAGTATACTGTATAGTATTTACATGTTTTAATTTTTACATACACAACTGCGAATGTTTCTAAGACTGTAAGTGATTCTCTGTGCTCCGAAGAGGTTAAAAGATCAGTCCAGCTTTTACCAACAAGTTACAGTGTCTCTGACACAGTTACTGAGACGACGCCAGAGCCCTCTGGTGGCCGCCCAACATTGCCTTCAGAAACCATCTTTCTTGATGAGAGAAATGCGAGCCACTGTCGAGAGCACGGAACTCGTCCAGTTTTTTGGGGAAAATTCCAGACTTTGGGGAGTCTTTGGATGGTCCATATGGAGCGACAAATTGTGTTTCCCTACAAGCATGGGCAGAAGATTCCAGTTGGAAATGAGGCAATTTTCCATGCAGTTAACGATAAATGTTGTGGCAACAAGACTTTAAATTTATGTCTATGAGTTAGACACTCGAAATAAATCGTAGGAAATATAATATTCGAGTAGAGAAGGTTAACTGGCTAGGCCGTACCTAAACGTAATTATGTCTCTTAGGTTCCGATAAAATATGTAATAAAGATTTTACATATTTTCTCGACAAGGCTTCTCAAAAAATTCCTTTCAAAGTCAGTGAAGTATCTACAAAAATATGTGCGTAAATAATAGGTACACATTGTCTATTTTTTGCGAAATTAATCACATTATTAAAAATTAAATGAGGGATCTTTGCGAGAACGTTACTATAAATTCTTGATGCTTCTGCGTCAGCCGTAGAAATGATCCGAAGTTTGCAAAACAGCTGAGTAATATTCTTTAGATGACCTTAGGTAGTTGAATTAACTCACAAACAAAGATAATTGTGATTTTTCCATCGGTAGCGAATGTAAAACAGCATGAATTCAACAACCACTCTATGCATAAGATGAAAAATCGCTAAACCGCACCCTGCGATTTTAATGTTTTTGCTTGTTTTTTGCATTCATTCAGTGAAAATGGGAAAAAAATATTATGTAACACCTTCGTTGCTCATAAATTTTTAGAGAAAAATTGTCCCTGTGTTTATTGTGGTAATAAAAATAATTATCACATAAAATGCGCGAAAGAGGATTTGGATGCTGATTTGGATCTTCCGAACTGGATTTTTTCTCCGTATTAACAGTGAAAAAATATTTTTCGGGCATGATATAAAATGTATAAGGGATAGAAAACAACTATTTGTTGATTTTAACCTTATTTATACATTTTTGAATATTTAACTCTGTTGATTTTGGCATATAAACTGACGACAACTAATTACATTTTCAAAAGAGTATTAATTTCAACATGATCGAACTTCATATCAGGCTCATATCTTTTTAGAAATATTTTCCTATCACAAGGTTAAACCTAACAAAAAATTTCTACTTTAAACTGCATTCGAATTTATGTTCGATTTAAGCACATCCTATTGGCATTCTACTCTCCTTTTAGGCTCGCAATTTTCAACACGTGTTGTGAGGCTGAACATTCGATTGATCCACAAAGTACGTAAAAAAAAGATCGAATATATTAATGATTTTATCTCTTAATGTGGTGAAATATCTATAAAAAAATGAATGATTTTTTCCTTTTAGTAGTGAATTATCTATTCATTACTACCTTATGCATGGTATTTTATTTCTTGTTTAAAACTTAGTTACGAGACGATCGAGGACTATGATTGTGTGTTGTCCCCAGCGAACAACAGACTCGAGACTGAAGGTTGTTAATCTGACCGAGACTAGCTGGAAGAAGCCATGTCTGAGATCATCCTATTTCAAGCTAGCTCATTGCCATATCTCAAAAATAATTTGAGAAAATTTAATTAATTTGAGGGATTGTAGGCAATAATAAAATTAAATTAATTATTAATCACTCTTTAATAACTTATTGAATATATTTGTATCGTGTAGCACCAGTGTTCAACACAAAACCTGAGAAACAGTAAATATTTTTTCTTGAGTTATCGTCCGAAATTCACCAGCATAAAGTACGTGCTTCGAAAACCCTGTGATGTAATGCCAATGTTTTGTTAAGTAAAAAGATGACTCAGTTACATTCATGGAAATTATGGCTCTTCAGTTTATTTCCTCTCGTGCATGATTTTCCAGTTAATTTATATTATTTACGAGCTGTTGTAGATATCCCGGTGCATCTCAGCTGTCAGTGAATAGTGCTTCTGTAAATTATCCTGAACAAACGCGGTTCTACTTCTTATTTTTTACCCGCTGCAACGGTTGGATACAACACCAAAAATTAATTGCGACTGGTTGGGATTATTCATAAATATCAGATTTATAATTCATAAATAATAATATATTGATTGCTGGGGGAAGGAATGATGAAAATATCTTGTTTTAGTTTCAAAGAAGATGAAGGAGTGTCGCTGGAGGAAGGAATTATGAAAAATATTTTATTTCAGTTTCAAAGAGTGTGTTGGGGGAAGGAATGATGAAAATAATCTGTTTCATTTTTACAAACGATGTGAGGTGCTATTTTCAATGATGATAATATTTTGTTTCAGTTTCAAAGACGATGCAAGAGCTTGTGTTGCAGTGGAAGCTCACCAAGGAGCCCATTAAGATGCACAAAGACCTGCGCATGCCTCAGTTCCAAATGCAAGACATTGTAGCCACCACCTGCCAAGAAGCCTCACAAATTGGTGAGAGTTTTTATGCATTTGTTATTCATGTTCTTCTATGATACTAATATCTGTTGTAGACTTTGGAGAAATGGGATTTTTTGGTTAATTTTTACTCTCGTAAATCATACCGTGACGGAAAACACAACAATTGAAAATTTTAATACCTTTTGAAACGCTTTTTTTGCCAGAAACTTTCCATACCATTTAAGTTTTTCTAATTTACAAAACATAAGCAATTTTAATGCCTAAAAAATTCTATGTTCCGTTCATCTGTCTTGGGAACAGAACTCCTGGCGTCCTTTTTAGCTTACGCTTCGCTGATAATCTTTGTGCATTCAATTTAGTGCCTCCAGCTTAGCATAAACATTGGAAAACTTTACATTCAAGTTGCGGCTAGGATACTGAAGTGAAATCCGCTTCTTATTATGCATGAAGGAGCAGTCTTCTACCGTTACAATTGCTGAATATCGAAGAAATACTTGCTTCTGCTGGCGAATGTTATTGAGATGGAGGATTGTGCTGCCGAATGTCGATAAATGGTTTATTGTGCTGCCGAATATTGGTTAGATGGTTTATTGTACACCAAGCAGCCCATTAAGATGCACAAAGACCTGCGCATGCCTCAGTTCCAAATGCAAGACATCGTAGCCACAACCTGCCAAGAAGCCTCACAAATCGGTGAGAGTTTTTATGCATTTGTTACTCATGTTCTTCTATGATACTAATATCTGTTGTAGAATTTAGAGAAATATGCCTTTTGGTTATTTTTTACTCTCATAAATTATACCGTGACGGAAAACACAACTATTAAAAAATTTAATGCCTTTTGAAACGCTTTTTTGTTAGAAACTTTCCATACCATTATGGTTTTTCCAATTTACATAACATAGATAATTTTAATGCCTAAAAGGTTCTATGTTCCGTTCATCTGTCTTGGGAACTTCATGCTAAACTCCTGGCGTCCTTTTTAGCTTACGCTTCGCTGATAATCTTCGTGCATGCAATTTAGTGCCTTCAGCTTAGCATAAACATTGGAAAACTTTGCATTCAAGTTGCGGCTAGGATACTGAAGTGAAATCCGCTTCTTATTATGCATGGAGGAGCAGTCTTCTACCGTTACAATTGCTGAATATTGATGAAATGCTTGCTTCTGTTGGCGAATGTTCACGAGATGGAGGATTATGCTGCCGAATGTTGGTAAATGGTTTATTGTGCTGCCGAATGTTGAGTAAATGGTTTATTGTGCTGCCGAATGTTGATTAGATGGTTATTGTGCTGCCGAATGTTAATTAAATGGTTATTGTGTTGCCGAATGTTGATTGAATGATTTTCATTGTGTTGTCAAATGTTGATTAAACGATAGATTGTGTTGCCGAATGTTCACGTTAGGGCTGCAGATTGTGGTGCCGAATGTTGATTAAATAGTTTATTTTCTTGCCGAATGTTCACGAGATTGTTTATTGTGTTGCCGAATGTTCATGTGGTTGTTGATTTTATTATAGATTGTTTATTTGATTGTTGACTCTATTAGTAATTAATTATCTTATCGAAATTTTATTGGGTTGTTTAACTTTCTTGTTGAATATCTTTGTGTTGATCAATAATTCCATATTGCAAAATTAATATAATAATTTATTTCTTCACAAAATGTTCACCGGGTGATTTAATGCACCGTCAGATGATATTTTGGTGATGATATTGGGTTTTCATGGGTCTAATGTCACGTAACGATTAATTAAATTGACTAATATTATCGCAACTATCTGTTTTAATATGTAAGGAATGTAAATTCCCGGTAGGGCTAATCATTCAAACAATGTTCCCAATTTCATCGAATAAAATTTCTGACCAGAAACTGTCGCACAAAGCTGCATATGGGTTCGAACCCGCGCCTCTCTGCTGCAATCCTGGTACTCTGAACTGTAACCACTGGGCCACCCTGCCCCTACCACTGGGCCACCCTGTATTGAAGGAGCACACGACGTTCAGATGAAAGTTTTTAACTCACGTTAAAAGCAGAGCTTATCGATAAAAGAAAGTTTTTTTACGCGTCGATGTACACACGAATTATATCATTCAAAATCCATAGATATTTATAAGATTTTGTGGATTCCTATCTGTTTATCCACGAAGATGTTGTGCACGAGATGCTGGCAGTTAGGTTCAAAAGACGCTGTTATATTTTATCGCAAGATATGCCGGCAGCCTGGCGCGCTAAAATGCATCGCATTGAGAGAAACTGCCGCCTGGTGGCGGTCACAACAAACGGATCCTAATGTTTGATTAACATGACTTATTTAATTATAGTATAGTCTAATCACGCGATAATGACGAGAGAGACTCATGAATCAATCATGACGAGAGAGACTAAGTGCTTAGATTATGAGTCATAAAAACTTTATTACTCGCTTTCCCAAAAATTCATTTCGTTGGGGAATTTTCATGTGTTTCAGGAAACTACAGTTGTCTGGTGGCTGAATTTCACCTGCAACGATCGGTGGGCTTCCATCTGGTGCAATCGTACCTGCCTACGATTCTTATCGTGGCCATCTCCTGGGTCAGCTTCTGGATGGATGTGGACTCTGTACCTGGCCGTACAACTCTTGGGGTGACCACCCTGCTTACCGTGTCCACCAAGTCCTCAGGTGAGTGACCACCCGGCTTACAGTGTCCACCAAGTCCTCAGGTGAATGACCACCCTGCTTACAGTGTCCACCAAGTCCTCAGGTGAGTGACCACCCTGCTTACAGTGTCCACCAAGTCCTCAGGTGAATGACCACCCTGCTTACCAAGTCCTCAGGTGAGTGACCACCCTGCATACAGTGTCCACCAAGTCCTCAGGTGAGTGACCACCCTGCTTACAGTGTCCACCAAGTCTTCTGGCCAGCAACCAAGTTTGGAGTCCTCAGTTCAGATCAGCTTTTCAACAACCCTTCTGTTGTTGGGTGCACTAAATTCTTTGACCGAGCCCCTCAATAATTTATATATTCAAACTATTGCGAAATTAATTTAAACGTGCAACCTAAGACTTATAAAATCAACTTTAAGGTCCGTATGACGAGTCACGGCTGAAAATTTTCAGATGCTAATAAACTTTTTTAGTGGCAAGAACTCGCCTCATGGAAAATTTGTTATAGAATACTTTTTCTGATTGAAAAGTTTTGAAATTAATTTAGTAATTTTTCACATAACTTCCAATAATTCAAAAATTACTTTTTAATGGTATTGTTCCCACGATTGATGGTTAGATTACTGTTAAATCCATGGACATCATGAAAATTGGCTTCAACAACGCTTTTATGTTCGTCACGATCCACCAGCAGACTCTTCAAAAAAATTATTCAGTTTGGACGGAAAGAATGTGGTAGAAAATAATAAAAAATTTCATGAGGCAATGCTTGAGTCTGGTCACGTTCTACCGGTCTTAATTTTGCGCTCATCTTGACAAGGTCCCGTTTGTGTTAGAAGCAACAAAAAACTGCGCTCATTCAAACCCAGATTTGCAAAGAAGTCATTTCTGAGGGAGAATTGTACGCTTGTGGCCGGATGTTTGTTTGCCATTGCATTTCGCATGTTAAGAATTGCTGGGTGAGGGAATAGTATGAATTTTTATTGTAGTGAAAAAGTGTGAATTGATTTTTTTATCGCAGTGAATTGCTGAGAATTCATTGAGTTTGAATCTCGAACATGCCGAATGTTTGTATTTTTTTTTTGTCACTTGGCATTCGAAACATAACGAATTGTAGAAATTTTTATTGAATGCCTATAATCATCATTAATTTCAGGGGAAAAAATTGCATTGGTCTCCAATTAGCATTGAATTAGCATGTTGTAATTGTTAACACAATTGTGAACGCCTCTGCCTAGATATGTCGATAGCAATTACAAGTTCTTGTACAATTAATTGACATGATCTAATTTCGTTATATAAGCATGTTAAATACTAAAACAATGATGACACTATTAATTTGTTTGACTATAGTATAATTTATAGTTTGACAATAAATTATTTTTTTTACTTAAACTTTTAATTATTCACTCGCATAAATGAAATAATTTGTTTTAGGCATTCAAGGAGACCTGCCGCAGGTGTCGTACGTGAAGGCCATCGACGTCTGGATGGGCGCGTGTACAGGCAAGTGCTTGTCATTTAATGGCGTTATCTGCCATTAAATGTTTTTTTTTGTTCAGTACCATTCGTTTTCTGCCATTTTCAGTGCTCGAATTTTCAGAATAGAAAACGACAATCGTATTTATGAATTATCGTATGAATTATTACATAAAGATTTTTATGTAATAATTCACACTGAGGAAATAATAACTTCCCTGAAATAATCAGTCTCCCAATTTCCCCACAACACTCCCCCTTCCCAGCGACACCGAAGTGAACAAGACAGCAGCAAATGAGATTGCCTCTCAATGCCCCAGCGGGAGCCATGAGTAACAAAAGAGAATTGATTTGCGCAGCTGCCGGGACTTCACTTATGTCTTGTGATGGAATTTTCATAGGGATGGTTACTGTGATAATAACGTGTGTTAGGTGTGTGGAGATGTTCATAGGGACATTTGCTGCGATGATAATAAACACCAAATTGCAGTTTGTTAGGTGCGTATAGATATGTTTATAGAGACTCTTACTGTTATAATAAAGTATGTCTGGTGTGGGGATATGTTCATAGGAATAGATACTGTTATTGTAACAATAACATTGACTATTCACGTAAAAATTATTGAAGGCCTTTTTATATCCCCGATACCCATTGAGATAAGAGTGTCAATATATGCTTCGCTGCTTGCTTACATAGCTTGTTGGCAATTATTTTATACTCGTAACTTAGTTTACCATCGGAGGTGATGATTATAGAAATCATTATTATTAATTATTTTATTCAACTGTCTGTAAATTGAATCTTCGCAAAAATTTGGAAAGTATGAAAAGATTGTCAAGGTCAGATTAATGATCATGCTTGCGCGACTTTAAATGTTAGGGAAAGTATTGAAAAACTTTTAGATTTTTTACTGGTCCGTGCTGATGCAATAAAAAACTAGTTTTCAATGGTGCCAATTGTACAGAATTTGCAATGAACCTTTTTTTGTGGTTCACAGAGCTGGGAAAGTTGAAGTTGGAGTCCAAAAGTTTCACAGTTGGGTAAATTTAGAATTCATCAAATGAAAGTAGAAATTGATTTCAATTACCCGCAAGGATTTAATTTTTTTGTGTATAATTGTTTCATCTGATGATAGCTGTTTCAATAAATAATATTTTAAATATATAAATGTTTAAAATATCAGTTTTACAATTTCGAACATTGTTTATAAATTTCAGTCTTGAACTGAGGAAATAATAATTAATAACCTCCCTGAAATAATCAGTCTCCCAACATCCCCACAACACTCCCCCCTTCCCAGCCACACCGAAGTGAACAAGACAGCAGCAAATGAGATTGCCTCTCAATGCCCCAGCGGGAGCCATGGGTAACAAAAGAAAACTGATTTGCGCAGCAGCAAGGACTTCACTTATGGCTTGTGATGGAATGTTCATAGGGATAGTTACTGTGATAATAAAGTGTGTTAGGTGTGTGGAGTTGTTCATAAGGATAGTTACTGTGATAATAAAGTATGTCTGGTGTGATGGGTTGTTCATATAGGGATATTTACTGTGATAATAAAGTGTGTTAGAAGTGTGGAGATGTTAATAGGGACATTTGCTGTGAAAATAATAAACACCAAAACGATTTTCAGTTTGTTAGGTGAGTATAGATATGTTCATAGTAATAGTTACTGTGATAATAAATTGTGTTAGGTGTGTGTAGATGCTTTAAGGAATAGATACTGCCATTGTAACAGCAAAATTGACTAATTATTTACGTAAAAATTATTGAAGTATTTTATGTATCCCCGATACCCATCGAAATATGAGTGCCAATATATGCATCGGTGCTGGCTTACATAGCTTGTTGGTGCTATTTTATGCTCATAACTTTGTTTACCATCGGAGATGAATATTATAGAAATGGTTATTACTAATTCTTTTATTCAACTGTCTGTAAATTGAATCATCGTATTGGTTTGAAAAGTATGAAAGAATTGCCAAGGTCAGATTCATGATCATGCGTGCGCGACTTTAAATCGTAGGGAAAGGATTGAAGAACTTTTAGATTGTTTACTGTTCCATGCTGATGCAATAACAAAATAGTTTGCAATGGCGTCAAATGTACAGAATTTGCAATGATTTTTTTTATTGTGGTTCGCAGAGCAGGGAAAGTTGGAGTCCAAAAGTTTCGCAGTTAGGAAAATTTAGAATTCATCAAATGAATGTAGAAATTGATCTCAATAATTATTCGCAAGGATTTCATTTTTTATTTAATTGTTTCATCGGATGATAGCTGTTTCAATAAATAATATTTTAAATATATATGTGTTCAAAATATCAGTTTTACAATTTCGAACGTTGATTTTAAATTTCGGTCGTGTGGTTGAATTTAGCCAATGAGTATAATTCTGTTAATAATTTTATTTTCTCTCCATGAATAACACTAAATTTTTTACTGAATCCTTTGCCTTATTAGCTTCCACACATATATATTATCTTCAAACGGAACAATTGATAAAAATGGTAAATTCCATAATTAGCTAGAATCATATATACAAATAATAAGTACAAACCATAATTATATGCATCGAATTAATTTTGCGAGTCAAGACATAAACTGATGTTCACATAATTTTTCTAATCACAAGATAAAAATTTGTGCGGGACGCTAAATTATATCAAAGCAAACTGTAACATTTTGTTACCCAGTGTATGGTATTACACCATAATTCTAGTTGTAAATAACAACATTTGAACATATTAACATATTATTAAAATTGATGATGAAGGAGACATACGAGTACAGTATTGATAATTTTTCTTTATTACAGCCTTCGTCTTCTCTGCATTACTGGAGTTCACATTGGTGAATTATTTGTGGCGCAAAAATGCCGGTCAAATGTTACCCCATCGTCCACATTGGCGGCACTCGGACTCCTCAGCGCCTCAGTGCGGGCGTCACCGGTGCTGTCACCAACCAAAATCTCCGTCAAGACAACACCGCAAACTGCACCTGACAGAGAACAAATCCCTCAGTAATTGCAATAGACCTACTGTGGTCCTACAGGATAGGAAGGAACAGCAAAACGACTTTGCAAACTCACCAAAGAAACAACGTTTATCTACCGCCGACGTCGATGAAGGAAAGAGGGTCGGACTGGGCGACGAGACTCCGATTGATGCGGTTAAGTCCCGTGGAGTTATTCTGGTAGGTATGATATTTCTGTGAAGAATATTATCTGACTTGCAAGCAATATTAAAATGTATTCAGATAATGAGTATTGAATAAATTCCTAATGAATAAATTTTCAAACAATCATGTTATTTTACGTCTTCTTATTGACGAAATAAATTCATTGAAAACAGTCGAAACTTTATTTGAAACTATTCAGAGTAAATTTATATGTCTTTTGTTTAATTTCTTTTATAATCAAGGTAAATTTTAATGCAAAATGCCTTTTCTGCTAATTTTAGAATCTCTTAGAATAGGTGCACAGTGCATGAAAAATATTTTTGGTCTTAAAACCAGCGGCTTTTCGTAATATTCGCATGCATTAAAATAAAAATCATTAGTTCACTAAATCATCTTTTATGCAAATTTGGCTCTCCAGGTAAAGGGTAGAAATTGACAATTGACAAGGGGCCGATACGTATGCTTTTGTGCTCGTAACTTTCATATTCAGATTATCTTAATTTAATATCATAATAAAAGTTTTTCCATCCATCATATCAACAATATCGTATAAACAAGGAAATATCTGGTAACCTGAGGTCCGGGGAGACTGCAATTTTTCTGTTAATGGTTCATCGAAACCGGTTTTTTTCAAGGTAACCTAAACTCCATCCGATCGTTCGAGGTCACTGTTGTGATTAATCAATTTATGTTTCCTAGAAATTTTACTGAACGAATGGCGCGCGTCTACGTGGAAATTTATTTATCGGAATGAAATCACATATTTTCTTTAATTGGCCCATGTTATATCGGATTTAATTATTCAACTGTAATCGGCATTAGGTTATAAAAAAGATGATGTTTCTCTGATATTTTTCATATTATACATCAGATTGTGCGGACTGAGCGATCATGTTCGAAAAATTTCTCCTCAGTTGTTATATAAACATTTTCTCATATATTTATTATACTGGCCTTTATTATAGTGGTCATCTTAGCCACCGAAAATTTGTCTCAGCCAACTGCTGTCAGATATCATTCAGTTTTTATAAGTTCTTCAGTAAAAAATAACTCAGTAATGATATGGTGTGGCCTCTCTGATTCAGATGCATCCCTGTTACGGTTTTCAGCGTATTTAAGCTCTATAATGTTATGTAGACCATGTAATCGTATCATGGAAATACATGGCGCGTAATTGCATACGCTTGATAAATTTGAGATTTGAATAGTTTAACCCACACTCATGTACGCCACGTGGGCTTGCATCACACAGTATGACAAGCAATCGTATTTTAATCGCAGACTTGATCAATAATTACCAATTGTTATCGTAGTCTGACAAGGTATCTTATTTTTCAGAGGCACTTCGCGCAAGGACGATCGCCCACTGAAGCCACCAATGATTCCACGACACGCAAATTAAAACACGAGAAGGACGAGAAAAGTGATTTGGCTGCCATTAATTCAAACGAAAACAAACAACCCTTATTACCAGAAGACTCAAAAATTTCAGTCTCACCTCCAGCCATCAACTTGACAAGGAATCACACATTCGACGACTTCAGGAAATTTCAGTTCGGATTTCGTGACCCTGATGATGCACGCTCGCCTGAAGAAATGAAAAGCACGGGCGTTTTCTTAAAAAGTAGTTTCTCACAGCCCACTAACATCACGAAAACGTCATCCAGCGTCAAAACAACGCTTCTAGATCATGATTTTCTAGAGACGTGTGAGGCAATACACACCGTGACACCTCGGCCAGCCGCGGAGTCTGAAAACACTTGCCACTGTCGGTGCAATGAGTCTAATGGCCATTGCCATTATTCATTTACTCAACCCCATGACTTGAACGATTGTTCTGAGGATGAGAACCTATTGCTTCACTACGACGATCTGTCTGAAATAATTGGTGGTATTCCGTGTCAATGCTGGGCCCGTATTCCGCATCGTAAATACAAAAACCCCTTCCAAATCTGGGCACGAAAAATCGATGAGTATTGCCGTGGGGTGTTTCCTCTGCTCTTTGGAGATGCCGTTATTCATTTACTCAACCCTGCGACTTGAACGATTGTTCTGAGGATGAAAATCTATTGCTTCACTACGACGATCTGTCTGAAATAATTGGGGGTATTCCGTGTCAATGCTGGGCCCGTATCCCGCATCGCAAATACAAAAACCCCTTCCAAATCTGGGCACGAAAAATCGATGAGTATTGCCGTGGGGTGTTTCCTCTGCTCTTTGGAGTATTCAACATATTATACTGGACTTACTATCTTCAACGTTGAATAAATAAATGAATCGGGAGTAATATCGATAGCAGCGGATAGAATAGTAAAGCAGTTATGTCTATAATAATATGCCTATATTGTCCAATTATTGTCTATAATATTATTCTAATATTGTACGAGTATATCTTAGGATCTGATATACATAAGCTGTTTAAAATAGCGTTGTTTTTATTCTATCTTTGTAGCACACAAATTGGCGAAAATAAAAAGAAGATATTGAGAGATGGAATAGTTATTCACAAAAAAAAGTTTAATTTATCCGCCTGTGTAAAAGCGTATGATTTACGTATAAATGCATGTATTTTTTCTCTCATACTCGTTATTATCGAGGATTCTTTGGCTTTGTGTGTAGAATAATCACTAAGAGATATTTAATGACAAGTAAATTGTTTTTCAAGATGATAGAAAGATTTTTGAAAGCAGAAGTGTAAGTAAGGTATGAATGCAAATAACTCAAACTTCCTTGAAATAAATTTTTCCTGTGTCCAGCTTAAACTGGATTTGATTTACTTTTTTGAATGTACATAGATTAATTTTTTAAGCGCAACCTACACGATATAAGTTTCAATGTTTGAATGCTTCTGTAGTCTTAAAAAATTATCTTCTTCCATATCAAACGCACCTGCATGCCATTAATCCGTTTTTAAAGTAAGAAATGTAAAAAGTCTTTTTCACACTCCAAGTACTGAATGCCAGTAGCTTTGATATTGGAAAAATAGACTACTTTGAAAAGATAACTAGCTATTCTATCTCCTCCAAAAATGTCCAAGTTCATTGCATTGTTGCCATTGGAAATTGTACTCTGTGCAAATAATTCATTACTTCAGATTTTTAATAAAATACCTTCCATATTCAGAGTTGTTAGTATAAAAGACAACTTTTATAAAATTTGTAATGAATTTCTGAGAAAGAAATCGAGTCTAGTTTTTGAAATACCATGTGGAAATTTGGAGCAATTTCGCGCAGATAAGAGAAACTCCTAGTGGAGATTTTTTGGATTGGATTTCCTAGTGGATTGGAGTGATTTTTGTCTTAAAGAAAGGCTCGTGAATTGGTTGACTTCATATAATTGATTTAAAGGTTTTTGTTGCATAAAAAATACTGTACTAAATTATTTATTATTCAGTACAATTCGTGTTTTTAAAGCAGGTTTGAATTGAAATATCAAGAAGCGTTAGAATTTCAAATTTTCTAGCACGCATGTAAGTTTTACACAATTTTTCCCAGCAGTCTTTAGCTGAAATTACTTCAGCTACAATGTCTGCTGTAAATGAAATTTTCCAAACAGAAAGAATTTTCTCGCGTTGTTTAATTTTTTTAGGTGTTCTCATTTAAAATCCTCTGTACATTTTGTAAATTATCAATGTATGTATAGAAGAAATATATTTATGCCTAAAATAGCCGCAAATTTATATTGAGGTCTTTGATTTATGCGACGTTTTTAGCGCATTCTCTCATTTATGGAAAAAATGCACTATTGTGCTCTCCATGTCCGTCTGTCTGTCTGTCCGTCCGTCCGTGACCTCAAGTTTTCGTCGACGAGAAAATGCGCTCTCCGTCACTCACTGCAGTGAGTACTGAGTTATATTTTTTAGAGAATTTCTTTGATGTTTCTGAGCTTGCCATGAAGTGTCTAATCCCCGGATTTTTAGACGGACTTCCTTCCATGCCGGAACGTTCTGTGAGCCATCAAAGCTCTTTTGTAGTCGTACGTCCCTTAAGATGTTGCGATGCTAAGGCTTTTGTTCTTGAGTTTTTTTTTATCTGGTAGATGGAAAAATTGCTTCTCTGCGCTCTGTTTCAATTCCGTTTTTTGTTTAAGTTTGCGAGTCAAAATGGATTTTGTTGCGAGTTTTGTTTGCTTGCATATCCTTGTAGCGACCCTGGGATTTTTAACAATCTATATAGGAGCTTTAATTTTGATATTTATTAATTAAAAGTATATCATAGATTGCAATAATTTTAATATTGGATTAAAATTAGGCGGTAACGAGCTAAAGCTGAGATTTTGATGACGATTTCATGATAAACCACATCTCTTTTTTATACTTTCATTTCCTTACTTATTTTATTATTTATTTTATTTATTTATTTTATAACTGCTTGATAAAAAACTGAAGATCTTCCCTTTCCAAAAACAATGATAGTTGCACTTCAATTATTAGCGAATAAATGCTACGTTTTTAAAACGAAATTAAGCCATTTTTCAACGCACCTTAGTTGTTGTTGAACTATTACACCTGTAGAGACTTTGCTTGTAAGGTATTGCAGCAAAGAGCTCATGTTTGGCTCAATTATTGACTTATATTTATGAGCCATGAGTATCCAGCATGCTATATCACTAAATGTTGAATATTCGGAAAACTCTCAGTATATTTAATAGTTTGTAAAGCAAGTTTTCTTATTTTTTGCGCTGGGGATATATGAAACATTGCATTTGTATGATCTTATTGGTGGCATGCCAATTTTCCGCTTGATGCATTTAGTTTATACGTTTGACGAGATATTATTTGAAGGACATTTATAGCTTTGAAAATATAAAAATCCTTATTAATTGTTTTGGGTTTTTAGTGGATATCGGTCAGACTGACGCAGACAGTCTGACCGCAGACAGTTTGATAGCAGACATTAATTTCATCAATAATCAGCATTTCATTCAATATTCGGTCAGACATCACATCACTTACTGTACATCACTCTGTATATAGGAAATAGATCCATCCTACAGAATGATATCGCTCCCCTGATAAACTAAATCTATTTCATCCAGAGCATAATTTCCTAAGATCGACCTAATACAATAGAAATATATTGATTTATAATGAGTCAACCCAATTATCAAAGAACTATATATAATAAATATCGTTCCTTAATGAGTAAGGACTCAATTCCATACACTAAGCTATACAGAATTATATCCCTCTATAATGACTCAACTTAATTAAATTAGTTCTTTAGAACTAATTTATATTGTATATTAAAAGTAAAAAAAAAATTGAATGAATTTTTTCGTAACTAATTGTTATTAAAATACATGCAAAAAACAAAGAGTCTGACGAGTTTACTGTGAACGGAAAAGCGCAATCTCACAAGAAATGAGTGCAAATATTTTTAGCAGTTGAATATAACTCTTTCTTGATTGCTTTACACGTGGAAACGCTGAATTTTTTGGACATTCTATTCTTCGTGGTACATTAATATCTCCATTTTATTGTGCCGTTATGTCTGTACAGTGTTGGTGTTGGGCTTATTTATTGTGCAAGGTACTTGTTTTCAACAATATTTATAAATCATTGACACTTGTTTTCCCGGTAGTTTTGTTCGTTCCGAATAAAACTATATGTAAGTAGACTGCTTAGATTGCTGTGATTCAAGTTCAAAATTCGTTCAGGTCACAAATGCTTTATTATTTCAGCAGGACATGAGAAATTGAATCAATTTTAAGAAAATATAATGAAAATAACGGCGAAAAATCAAATTGGCAGCTGATGGTTGTTGCCCAATTAGCGACGAAATATTCACGGGGTGAATGAATTCCTAATTACTCTATAATCAGTCATGACATTTTCTGAGGCATTATTACAAACAAAACCAAAGCAAATGACGAAGTTATAAGAATTGTAAAATATTTTTCTATGATATATTATGGCATGGTGTTCCTTATCGTCTAGTTTGCATACATTGAATTTTTTCACTGGCAAAGTTTCAGTACAAAATTTACATTAAAACGATGATAAACTTTGAGTGAAAATTCCTAGCGGATTTTCAGCGTATAAAATATATGACGGCACCAGAAATTAATTGTGGATAATAATATATAAATAATGACACCAAGTTTACTGCATAAAACTTATCGGTAACTATACTAAATAAGATATGATGTGTAGGACAGGAGCTGTCCGGCCTAATATTTAATTAAGTCGCTGCTTCTTGGTTAGTTTTCCGAAATGCCAAGAGCTGTTCACCATAATATATAACCGCTACATTATCTACTGTATAACCTCATGTTAAAACTTCCATAGGATAACTGAAAGGATGAAGAGACGATATCTTATTATCCTTTTATCTATTTTAATGCTATAGGAAGCATAAATCTTATGTGACGTTCTCAAGGAAAGCTGGAGACTATATGTTCTAAGCTCCTTCTGGGCCTATACTTTAAAAAAAATTAAGAGATCGTAAGTTCATCAGCCAATCATTGACGGCCTTATCCAAGGTACGATGTGTGCATAATGAATCTTTTTTGTTCTAATATCCACAGTTCCAAGGTACGATGTGTGCATGATGAATCTTTTTTGTGTCTAATATCCACAGTTTCATGATACGACGTGTATATGATGAATCTTTTTTCCTCTAATATCCACAGTTTCAAAGACGATGAAGGAGCTGGAGCTGCGCTGGAAAAGTGAGGATGCCATCAAAATGTACCGCGACCTCCGCATGCCGCAGTACGAGATCAACGCAATACGACCTGTCTCTTATACACATCTAGATGTGTATAAGAGACAGGTCCTCAGGTGAGTGACCACCCTGCTTACCGTGTCCACCAAGTCCTCAGGTGAGTGACCAGCCTGCTTACCGTGTCCACCAAGTCCTATTGTGGCAACTACTGACTAGTCGTTGTGCTGATACGGTCTCTGCTCGTGTTTCCGCAGTGTGCCTTCTCCCTTCCTTGGCCCATACTTTCAAAAAAAGTTAAGAGATCGTAAGTTCATCAGCCAATCATTGACAGCCTTTCAAGCAAAATTCACCAATCATAGACAAGAAAATAGAGCGTAAGTACTTACGTTCACTTAGCGAATTTTGAAAGTATGGCCCCTGGACCGAATGTACTAGCCACCTGTTTTGTCACTTTGTTTTAGACTATTAGTGTCAAGTTCCTGATTTTAAAGTGCCCTAGTCTGTATCCAATAAAAGTGTTTTGAATCTCGGTGTTGACTGGAAAACTGTGTTTTGTTACTCCAATATAGTTCTTAGAGAACTGCTTGATATTACGCTCGTGCCCGACGTTCCGCCCTTTTTGTGGTGGCCATATTTGACGTTTGGAACGTCCGGTCACAACACTAATGTCCAATAACTATCTAACAATACAATTATAAAGTAATCAATATTCCTCAATTATACTCCAATTAAGCAAACAAATGCATAGCTTAATATAAAACAAAAACTATCGCTCGTCGCCCTCCCACTTTTCCCTCATTCCTCAATAAGGTGCGCCATTAATAACTCTAGTAAGGCTTCCTCTAAGCTGAATTAATTATTGAATAAAGTTTATTTGTTGGATTATAATCCTGAACCGTGATTATCCATCAGTTCCGCTGTGAGAGATGCTCGCTTCTGTTACAGATTATAGAATATGATGTGGGGGCTGATTTTAAGTATTAATATTGCAAGCAGATACGAGTAAATTTAATCTGTGTATGCGTCTTATTTATGTTTCGCCTTCGCGATTATGAACCATTATTTCAAATTAAACTCCTAAGTTCTATAAAAAAAGCACGTCACATTTTTCATTGTAAGAGTTACTCGATATCTCCTTAGTAAGAATTACGTTTCTAATCATTCAAATTAATGACCGTTTCAACTTTGGATAAAATTTACTGATATAAATTTCATGCTTGTTATGAAAGATTACTAAATTTCCCCATTTTTAGAATTTCGAGTGTCTGTAGAATGGATTGATATTGTAATTGTTGGCTAAACATCGTATTTTTCAATCTTTGTGCTCAAGGTTCAATCTTTTCTGTATTTTTGTCTCAATATTTTCTCTGTCTTTTCAATCAGAAGCCACGTGATTTTATTAGTTCTGAGTAGACAAATGAATATTTTTTCATTTTTTTGGTATCTTTTTGGTATTTTATAGCAGTTTCTGCTGATTTCGTTGAACTTGTTAACTCTAACGGCGAAACTTGTATTAGTGAGTAAACTTCACTAAGAGAAATCAATCTCTAGGTCTAGGAGCGTTT